TTTTTTTTTGGCAATAATAATCATTTACACCTTAATGACATGATATCATGAAGAATCCAACCAAAATTGAATTCTTCCAATATATTGGTTCTTCATTTAGGATTCATACTTTGAATCACAGAATGTGTGTAGTAATCTTGGTTTGAATGAACCTTGTAGTACTACACGAGGACGGGGATGTGTAAATTTGGGTCTACCTGCAAGTATCACCATCCAAAGTATGGAGTTGGGTCTTCAGCTCCAATCATGCTCAACCTCTCTGGATATCCATCAAGACCGGTCTGCTGCCTATATTCTTTTTTTCTTATTTGTTGTTAATCACTAAAATACCCTTATAATAATCAACTCTAACAACAAAAACCTCCAAATATATTTCCATATTCACTAATTGCCATCTCAATGGGGGGGTGAAGAATGAAGAAACTGCAGAGAATTTTGAGACATACATGGTTGCTATTTAATTAGGTTAATTTTTGTTAACTATGTCTCATAGGGTCATTGTTGTAGGGAGAAAAGGAATGTTCGCATTATATGAAAACCGGGCAGTGCAGGTTTGGCATGACGTGTAAATTTGACCACCCACAAGTAGGTGGGGTACAAGTGCCTGCTTTAGCTGCTCCACCGACCATGCAGTCTCCTCAACAATATGGGGTGATTCCCGGTAATTGGCCCGTAGCTAGGCCCACCGTTGTTCCGGGCTCATATGTTCCTGGAAGTTATGGGCCTACTATGGTCTTACCTCCAGGAGTTATTCCTGTTCCTGGTTGGCCTCCTTATCAGGTACTTGTTGCCAAGCCTGGTTTTGTATTATCTCAAGTTATACTAGACTTTTAGCTTAAACAAAAAACTCGAGTTACCTTGTATAAATTTAATGAAAATGACGTAAAGAAAAATAGAAAAGAACCTAAAGTTCTTCACAAATATCATTTCAAGGTTTCTAAATAAAATATCCAGTTTTTCTATTTATAGCTTTTTTCCAAAGTTAAACGGTAAAAGTAGTACTTTTTACATCCTCTTTTGTTTTATTTTATATATTATTTTTCCATGTTTGTTTTGTGGTGGTAAACTATACAAGTACATTTTACAGGCACCTGTTAATCCTGGGGCCTCTCCAACTATACAACCAACTGTTGGTGCTGGCCCAATTTACGGGATAACACAGTTGTCTCCTTCATCGACTGCTTACACTGGCCCGTATGTCCCCATTACCTCGACTATCGACCAATCAAGCAGCACCCAAAAGGTACACGCATTCCCTGAAAGACCCGGTCAACCAGAATGTCAGTATTACTTGAGGACCGGTGACTGTAAATTTGGCTCCACATGTAAATATCATCACCCACGCGAGTGGACTGCACCAACAATGAATTTTTCACCGACTCCTGTTGGTCTCCCATTACGCCCAGTAAGCATTCAATCCTACTATCTGAAATTATCTGTATGTGCAGGAATAGATAACATTGTTATCTGAATACAAAGTGTGTGTGTGTGTGTGTGTTTGTGTCATGGTCTTTTTTTGGCTCTTCCGCTTCTCACATGATATTTGACAAACTGTGGATCATGAGACAGACGCAAACTTCTCGAATCTGATCATTTTTGAAGTAATATAATGTCTAAGTTATCCCTTGCTGTCTGTAACTTTATAATGCATCACATTCAGTCATGGAAAATACATCTTAAGTAACTTTAAATGTCAATGTAACACAGTAGAACCTTTTCCTTTCTATTGTTTCTACAGATACTAGAGGCAATTATTGCTGTTGATAACCTGATTATTATTATACTTGATACTTGTTCCTAGTTTCATCACATTTCCATTTTACCAAACGCTGATAATTTTACAAATCAGCCCTTACATGCATGGTATGTTTTTATTTTTATGCCTCAATGTTACTGCTATCATTGGCTAAATCGTGAAAGAACATGCCTATTTTTCTCTGTATTTTCTTAGGGCGTGCCAATTTGTTCGCACTATGCGCAAAGCGGAATGTGCAGATATGGGCCCTCGTGCAGATTTGATCACCCAATGGGAACTATGACTTACAGCCCGTCTGCATCGTCTCTCACAGATATGCCCGTGGCTCCTTACCCTGTGGGGTCCACTAGTGCAGCATTGGCTCCTTCATCATCCTCATTGGACTTGAAGCCCGAAAGTCTATCTAGGCCCATCAAAGACCTTGTTACATCTCAAATATCCGATGTGAATAGCTCAAGTACCTCGGTTGGCTCAATTCTATCAAAACCCGGGCCTGCACCCCAATCTGGTGCTCAGCAACCCGGGCCTGCCTCCGCCTCCGCCTCTGCCTCCACCTCCTCAAGTTAAGAGTTTTTGTTCGTCTTGACTAGAAATATCTCGGCCGTTTATATCAACTGCGCGCATTCTTGAAATTAATAAGCTGTCTCATTTTTGCATTATTATAAGTCATTGAATAATGAAAACACAACTAATATTTCTACCAACATACATTAAAAAGTTTTGGTTCTTTATTTATTATTATTATTATTTTTTTTGGTGTCTATTTTTGTACTATCTTTTGTTGGCGCCTTAAAGCCGGTGAACAGCCGCCGGCCAATTATTATTCTTATAATATGATTACTTTATATATAATAAGTTAATATAAATCTTAATTGATTGATATCTCCTTATATATAATTCACGAATGTGTTGAGCCTAAGTGGTAGACTCGCATGTTTCAGGATCCTAGGTGTCAAAATTTCATGCTTTATTATTTGACTTGGATAGATTTAATTTAATTCCAATTCAAAAATAACTATGAATCCTGTGCGATGCACGGGTAAAATGAATACATGCTTTATTATTTGACTTGGATAGATTTAATTTAATTCCAATTCAAAAATAACTATGAATCCCGTGCGATGCACGGGTAAGAGATATTCATTGATACTTATAAATTAAAAATGCTTATTAAATAATAATAATAATAAATTAAAATATGAAATCAATATGTAATGCTCCTTTCCTCCATATATTAGTTTATTTCAAATGTTAAATGAAAGATAATTTGTGCAAAATTACATAAAACACGTCTATTGAAATTAGTACACAACTCGTACGGTTCTCATAAGATATAATAAATTACATCATGTCATATCAAAATAAGTGTCGATTTTTCTATTTTTCTTGGATACTAAATTAAATTTGAGATGTATGAATTTTGTGATTGAATGATTTGTAAAGTGAAACATTATATTTTTCAAAATTCATGTAAAATTGAGATTATATATATATATATATATATATATATATATGTATATAGTCATGTATAAATTCGGTTACCAAAGAGACAAATAGCGAACATAAAATTGTATTTTATCTATCTTAATCATTTATAAAGAAATAGAATTATAATTTATATTAACCATGACCAAAAATGACATACTTTTATTATTTACAATAATTTTGTTGTTCACTTTAGTATTGCAATTATATTTGGATAGATTTTGTTAATAATATATATAGAAATTAAGCAGATTTAATTTCTTTTGTCCCCTCTATATATTATTTCAGAACGTGCTGAGTCAAAGTGACAAGTTCGCACGTTTTGATGTTGACATATTAAAATGATGTGCTTCGTAATTCGGTTGTATAAATAATATTGCTTTGAATTTATGTTTGGTACTTCACATTTATTTCCAATTTTGGTAATTATGCATTTATATTTGTCATTTTTTTCTCTTTCTCAAAATCAAATCTAACCATAGGAAATTCATATTATTTATTCTCATTTATTTCATTTATTAACTACGATAATTTCTTATATTCATACTTTAAATGATAATAACTTTTTTATATGTAGCCCATTTTTCGGATATGATTTATCAAATTAATTATTTTTTGACGATATGTTATTTTACATCCATATCACATATAGAAATATAAAATTAATCAACTGTCTTTATAAATAAAAATTAAACTTATTCACTCAATCCAAATTAAAAAAGACACATACAAATGGAATTATATATTATCTTAATAATTTTTTTTTTCATATAAATATACCCAAAAATATTTTTATAGTCTTAAGAAAAAAATATGCATAACTATAGAATGAAAAAGGTCTACACTTTAGAAAAAAAATCACTAAGGAGAAATCACAATGTAGTTGTACATGACAATTATTTATTAATATTTGCACATATAGTTATACTTAAATATATGAAATAAATAATTCGCTCATGTAGTAGTCTAGTTATACTTAACAATTTGTAACATTTGCCCATATAGAATTCACATCAATTGTATTTTTATTGTGTAAAAAGTCAAATTAAATAAACAATTTAGAAAAAAACTATAAGATAAATTTAATTCAAAAATATACCCAAAAATATTAATTTATATATATTAAATTTATTAATTCTATAAGATAAATTTAGATATACTTTTTATATAAATATACCCAAAAATATTTTTTTTATAGTCTTAAGAAAAAAATATGCAAATGTTAAGTATAACTATAGAATGAAAAAAGTCTACAATCTAGAAAAAAAAAGTCACTAAGGAGAAATCACAATCTAGTTATATTTAACAATTATTTATTAACATTTGCCCTATAGTTATACTTGTATATTTAGAATAAATAATTTGTTCATGTAGTAGCCTAGTTATACTTAACAATTTGGAACATTTGCCCATATAGAATTCACATCAGTTGCATTTTTATTGTGTAAAAGTCATAATAAATAAATAATTTAGAAAAAACTATAAGATAAATTTAATTCAATTTTTTTTACCTAAAGATTACATAATATAGAATATATAGTTCGAAATACATGAATTAAATAGCTTAAAAGTATATTTCTTTTAATTGTGGATATTTATTAGTGTCTTTAAATATATGATTACGCAAATAAAATGATACACTTTATTCTTAATTAATTGAAAAACGTATTCTCAGAATACGTCGTTTTTCATGTAAAATAAAGTGGTGGGCACTGCCCACCGTGGGCAGGTGAGCGGGACGAGACTTATATATGTGATTAGTATTACCATAAATCAATCACAATTACTTAAATTGTACCTTTAAGACATACCATAAAATATTTAATAATTTCCAGATTTAGTAAACAACATTTTTTTGGCGGGAAATAGTTACTATTTAAAAAATAATCAAACTTTTTTATATAGACAGGTCTATTGATAGAGATTAATCGTTTTTTTCCGAATGCAGATTATGTTCGGATTACCATAAAAATGTTGATATATTTATGATCATTTTAGATATATCAATTGTATTTTAATATTTTAAGAAAAATAATTAGCAAACAACCATGTAATACACAGGCGTGCGTTGTACTAGTGAACTATTGATTCTAAACAAATAAATAGTTATATTCGACTTATCACTATTTTGAGGAGGAGACTAACTAGATCCACACACATACACACACATATAAATGTGATACTGGTGAAATAGTAGATTTTCCATGGTTTAGAAAAACGGATTGGATAGGCCGGTTCAACCGGAAACAGACCATCACAGCGGTCCGATCAGTGGTGTTAAACCGTTCGGCAGAAAAACAAGTTATAAACCACTTGGACCGTTCAAAAACCAGAAAATTCGGAGAACCAGAGACGGTTACAACATCCCAACGATTGTTGTTCAATGGCATGAAATGACTTTTTTATTATAAGCATTTCATTTTTGTGGTGTTTTTTCAATGTGGAACTTGCTTTTTTCATTTTTCCTGTCATTCTTCTTTGCTTGTGGCGTGGGCCAACTCTAATTTATAAATTTTTGGCCACTGAATTTTCAATCGCTTGGTTTTTTTTTTTCTTTTTTTTTTTTTTTTTTTTTTNNTTTTTTTTATTTTTTTCGGCATACACACTTGCAATTGCAATTTGTAAACTTTAGGCTATTTTTTTTTTAAATGTCCATATCCAGTGTTCTTTCAAATGCAAAGTTTCAAATGCCAACTTTTCCAAAATTCAAAACTAAAAGCTCAACTTTTTTAAAAAAAATCATATATATTATATTATTATTACAAAATTACAATTTACAAGATAAATAAAAACCTTACATAATAAGACAAAAGTATTTACAATTATATATTTTGCATATAAAACCACTGATAAAAAATAAATACAATTATATTATATAAAGAGAAATGTCATTATATAGTATAAAATTAATGATAAAAATATATACAGTTATATAAAATACATATAAAATAAAAATATTATATGTTAATTAAACTGGTTTGACCAGTGAAACATTGAACAAGTAACTTCATTGGTTCGATGACGGTTCAGTTTTCAAAACCTTGATATTCTCTAGGACATTTTGAAGCAAAAATTGTCGAGGAGTCACTCTCGTTAATATTAGGAAAGATTCAACACATTTTGGAGATTAAAATAAAATAAAGTGAGTATAAAGGGGGCCCTTGTTCATGAATCATAACAAAAGAATGGCCGCAATGATTTTAAGATGTGCTAATACTCAAGAGACTGTGGATGAGTTGTATAGATATTTTGGTAGTTTGTTTAAAACCTCTAATCCTTTGGTTGATAGATTCAATTTGGATGGGATCCCTTTATCCATTACAGTTGATATGAATAGATCTTTAACTAAGGAGGTTTTTGAGGTAGAAATTAAAGCTGCTTTAAGGGAAATGGATCAACACAATGCTTCAGGTTATGATGGTATGTCTCATGCATTCTTCCAAACCTCTTGTCCTTCTATTAAAGATGAAATATGTTCTGCAGTGAGAAATTTATTTCAGAATTGTAAGATGCCTAAAAACCTGAACCACACTGTCTTAACCCTCATCCCTAAGAAGAAAAATCCACAATTTGTCACTGATCATAGACTAATCAATTTATGCACTTTTATCTATAGACTCATTGCTAAGATTCTTGCGAATAGACTCAAGTCTGTGTTGCATTGTTGCATATCTCAATCCCAATTTGTCTTCATTCTTTGTAGACAGATAATAGTAATGTGGTAATTGCTAATGAGTGCATCCATTTTCTAAATAGAAAAAGATTTGGCAAAGACAAATTCATGGCTATTAAACTTGATATGGCAAAAGCATATGACAGAGTTGACTAGAATTTTCTTGCTAAAGTGTAGAAAAAATGGGATTTTGTGATTTGTTTACTTCCTGAATTCTTGAATGTGTTTGCTCTTCTTCTCTTTCTTTCAATGTGCAAGGTTCAGTCATGGGTTTTGTGGTTCTTTGTAAGCCCCGACTCATTTTTATATATATATTAGCTCGACTTTATTTTTCCGAAATAGAAAGTTCACAATTATGCCATCTTTATTTAGGATTGACTGCATAATTAATTAATTTCTAAGTCTAAGC